ACTGGCTCTTCCAAGAAGGGAACATCACTGCTTTCATCAACTTCCAAGCGGCATAAATCCTCCAATCAGGAGGCTGCAGGCAAGATCTCGGCCAAGACCAAGGCCAAGGACAGATCTGGAGGCAAAACTTCAAAAAAGGATGAAAAAAAGGCCAATAGGAGACACCAGGGGTTAGAGAGGGAATTCTCTAAAGCACAAAGACAGGCCAGGGTTGAAATCACACAGGCTGAAGTGCCTTCCTTCGATTTACCACTGGGGCCCTTTGCTTCCCCTCTAGGGATCTGGTTAACGGGATGTTATCTCTGTCCCTGTGCCTGGGGACACATCTCACCAGAACCCCATCTTCCAGCCTTCTGCCCTGCAGGCTCAACAGTCGGCCCCCAAAGCTACTTTCATCCCTACTGCGGCTGGACTCAGACCAACAGAGCCGGTTTCCCACCCCCCACGGAGGACCGTCTAAATGAGTTGATTGCGCTGGAGGTAGAACACGCGCTCCAGGCCAGATCGCACGTACCTAGGTCATCCTCGGTTTCTCCCCTACCTATCCACCAGCCAACTACCAAGGCTTTTTGTGCACCTTCTTCACCTTCTCAGTCCTCCTACTCCGAGGCTTCATCCTCTCATGCGTATGATGCGGAATTGGGGATCCCGATGTCAGATGAGGAGGAAACACCTCCCAAAATGCCATCCTTTGCTGGTCTCTTTAATCCATCTCATTTTGTTCCCCTGCTCCGAAAGGCCACTTCCACGGCCCATCTTGGACCCGAACTCTCCACATCGGCATCGACAGCTGCTCCAGACTCGGAGGCGGATCTGAATTTCACTGAATCAGTAACCACACAGTACCGCATCCCCTGTCTGCCCATGTTTCTAAATGCAGTCAGGAAACAGTGGGCATCCCCGGGTACCCTTCCTCTCCCGTGTAGTAGTGAGAAAAGATTTTGGCGGAGGCGCTGGAGTTTCCCACAGTGGATGAACCCTTGGGTCCCCTTGTATCTCCAACCACCGTTCCTGGTGACATGTCTGATGCCCTCAAGGTGGAGGACCGCAAAAGTGAGTTCACTTTCTGCAAAACACACCAAGCTACAGCGTGGGCTATCAGGGCAGCTACCTCAGCATCCTTTTTCAATAGGTCTGCCCTCCACTGGCTTCAACAACTTCAAGCCAGGATTCCGGCGGAAGATATCCGCACTCACCAGGATCTGAGCAAGATGGTGGCGGCAACGGAATATGCTTCTGATGCAATGCTACAGGCTGCCAGATTTTCCTCCAGGGCTATGGCTTCCATTGTTACTGGTCGCCGTATGCTTTGGTTGAAGCACTGGCATGCCGATGCCAAGTCTAAGTGGCGTCTATCAGCAGTGCCTTATCAGGGAGGCAAGCTGTTCGGTGACGCCTTGAATCCTTATCTCACTAAAAATTAGGACAAATGCAAGGTCCTTAATCATCTCTTTAAGAAATCAGACAAACAGTCTAATTTTTATCCATGAAGGCAGTCCTTTCATGCAGGGGCTAGGTACAACTACATTCAGCCCATCCGTCACTTCCCAGCCAGGCAGGACAGACAGCATAGGCAGTCGGATAGACAGGTGGCCAGACCTAGACAGCAATCTCCGGGCAAGCAGCCCTTTTGCGGGAGCGGCCGACCATTCCGCCATTCCAGGTGATGCTCCAGTGGTCCCTCCCATAGGGGGCAGACTCTCTTTGCCCACCGGTGGGAGACCATCACCATGGATGCATGGGTACTACACACGGACTGTCCCTGGAGCTCATCTCCATCCCTCCAAATCGATTCTCTCTTGTCCCTACCCACGGAATCGAACAAAGAAAAAGCTGATGAACGAAGCTGTTCAGCATCTCTTAAATATATGTGCCATAGAACCGGTGCCGGCGGACCAGAGAGGTCGGGGATTTTACTCCATCCTCTTTGTTGTTCCCAAGGCGTCAGGGGGATGGAGAGCCATTTTAGATCTCAAGGGCTTAAATTATCATCTTGCATACCGCAAATTCAAGATGCAAACGCTCTGCTCCATCTTGGGAAGTGTAAGAAAAGGGGACTTCCTGATGTCTATCGACCTCACGGAAGTGTACCTTCACATCCCCATCTTTCTTGCCCACTGCCGGTTTCTAAGGGACACCACTTTCAATACAGGGCACTCCCATTTGGCCTCTCATCGGCTCCCAGGGTATTTATTTATTTATTTATAAATTTATTTATTTATTTATTTATGAGACTTATATACCGCTTTAAGTGCAAGCACTCTCTAAGCGGTGTACACCAGTAAGCAATGTATATATATATTTACATTGCCCCCAACAATCTGGGTCCTCATTTTACCTACCCCGGAAGGATTGAAGGCTGAGTCAACCTTGAGCCGGTGAGATTTGAACCGCTGACCTGCTGAACACAGTCAGCTAAAGTGGCCTGCAGTACTGCACTCTAACTGCTGCGCCATCTCGGCTCATTTAAATCCATTTAACTGAATGGTACTTCTTTCTGATTACAAGAATAGCAGAAAAATAAGTAAATGTAAAGAAAACTAATTGACCTTTTCAGCGTGTGGTTCTGGGAGGATTTTTTTTTTTATTAAATTTTTGAAATTTTACAAAAACAAAACAACCCATCCCCAAACCTCCCCAATCCTCCCATTCCCTCCCCCGACCTTCCCAGAGCTGAACATAGGCTTAATTACAATTTCTTCAAAAAGTCTTAAAAAAAGAAAAAAATATAAACCATGAATAAGTCTAAATACTAAATACATTAATTAAACAAATTATAAGATAATTAGCAGTAATATATATATATATAAACACATTACAAACCACAGTGGATTGGTTCCCACATTCTAATAAGCCAAAATCAGATTACATTATTGCTTAGCCCAATAGTTGAACCACTGTGGAAATCTATTCTGGTTTGCCCTGAAGAATAAATATTCAAAAAATTCATTTCTCAGATAGACAATGTTTGATATTTGGGTATTTGTTTTTTGGGAAGAGGTAAAGGAATGTTGCTTTCTTCAGGCACACAGAAATCTGCAGGTGCTATGAATTATGTATACTTTTTTTTCTTCCTGAGCATTTGGCAGTTTTGTTACATAACTACAGATCCTATGATCTTGGTAGGAAATTATATGCATGTCATATAAAATTTGCAACTGCAAACAAATTTTTGTGGCTTTCACTTTATCTCATAAGAACATAGCAATCTACCTGACACTGAGTCAGAGTGTTGGTTCATCTAGTCCAAAGGTGTCAAACTGGCGGCCTACAGGCCAGATGCGTCACACACAAGCCACACCCACCCTGGTTCCGCAAAGGCAAAAAAGTCACGATACATCACGATACGTCACATGACATGATTGAGATTCAAACCCATGATTTAGTTCAGTACTTCTATACTGTAGGCTGTTTTGTGGTTACTTGTGCTGATTATTAAACATGGACATTTCTACATGCCAATCACATGCTTTGTCTTTGTAGTATGCTTTCTACAGTACTCTGTTACCTATGTCATTCTCAGCGTATAATCATTCTCAGAGTATAAAGCAGCGAGCATCATTTGGAATAAGGTCCACTGAAAAGGTTCTGAAGATACAAAGAAACCAAGCTATTGAAATTTTAACTTTTTTCTCAGTTGATGTTTCTTCTAAAAGAAAAGGTAGAGTAATAAAAATGCAGAATATGGCTTATATTTTTTTAAATATTGTGTATATAACTATGGGTTTCTCCATTGACTCTGATTCAAATAGTAATGTTTAGTTTTGGATATAAATAGTTGTGTAATTCATTTATTTGATCTAAGTGGAGATAAAGTATTGTAATGCAAGAAAACATTGCATTCATAGCAAGCCTAAATTATTTCTAGTCTTGTTATTTGTGATTTAATCTCTTTTTTCAGTGGTAGGATTGAATTGTATTTAAAATATTCATAGCCATTCTCCTTAAAATATAGTGTTTTCGATAGGGCAATGACCCCACCCTTTGTTTACATTGGTGTATGAAGTTATGTACCTTTTTCTCATAATGCCATAGAGCAGAGGGCGGGGATATGCAGCCTGTCTGATGCAATGCAGTACTGAGGGAAAAAGTCTATTATATATTCTGCAGAGAGAAGACAGTATTTTTCAGGAGTCTCATTTGTGCCAATACATTTCTTCAGGATATGATAACAGAAATTCCACCAGCTGCCAACATCCAAAAAGACACAGAATAAGTCCATTGCAAATACGCCAGAATTGATGAATTGTTTTTTTCATGCACATTTCTAAAAACACCCTATAATTTTACTCCTACTTTCCACTGAAATCAATGAATACATGTAAAACATTTCAGTGCTACACTAAAAGCCTTAATCAAGAGGACCAAAGGATCGGCACCATGCGGCTTTTTAGTTTACAGCATTTTCAAATGGAGAAGGTACCCCACTATGTTTCTTAGCAGGATAATGATGCTCAGGGGAGCTTTGAAAGCAGTTTGTAATACAATTTTGGAAGACCATTATTGAAATTTTTAAAAGCTCCCCGGGAAACCAGAATTCACATGAGCTTCCTTCTAAAAAGCTTTTTGGGTACATTGCCTAAATATATTTGATTCTCCAAGAAGTAATGATTACTAGTAAGTAAGTACTCAGATAGTCTGCAGCATTCAGGCATATACTTTTTCTAGGTAAAAATTTGATATTTATTTAACAATATTTTTTCAATACTTCTATTTACAATGAAAACAGTAACAATGTATATTATCTACAAGAATCAGGTAAGAGGACATTGAATATGAGAATTTTGTTTACTCACTCAAGTAATGCTCTTGAGAACAAAAAAATGTATTACCTAGATGAGTATCCTAAAAAAAGAATAAGTCCTTTACAATTATTTATAATTTGTAACTATTTATTTTTCAGGATTAAATCTAATAAATACAAATGATCTAATACAATTATAATGAGAAGTAATTGTTCGGCAAGTAAGTCTAATATTTAATAATTAAAAATTTCTCAGGTACCTATTTTCCTTAATTACCTGGAGGAATGTGAACAGTGCTTTTTTTGTAAAAAAAAAAAAAAAAAAAAAAAGTGCCGGAACTCACATATGTCATACAACCCACCTTGCCTACCCTACAAGGTTCCATCCAAAAAAGGTGCCGGAACTCCGTTCTGGGCGTTCTATGACAAAAAAAAGCCCTGAATGTGAGTATATGTTTTTCTTGAAACATTCTTTCATTTTATAACACCGGCTCTTTGAAAAGAACCAATACTTACTTTTGTTTTATTTTATTCTGTTTTTATCAGCTTTTAGATATAAGCCACAACTGAAGTCAAAGGAGCCAGTACTATAAAATGAAAGAATGGAAATAGTTCCACAGAGCTGGGCATCATCCTGTAAGGTTCAGTTTCTTAAATTTGGTTTTCCTGGAGACCAATCAGTTTATTTTTAGCATTTCTCTGTTATCACAACTGGAATATAGTGTTTAAATTCAGCATTAATTTTAAATGTTTAATAAAACACACAACAATGATTTGATTGCTTGTTAATTGTGTTCCTAGGTCTCAAAACATTAAAAAGATTAAATTTCAGAATTAAGTGAAGTTTCCCTGAAGGGCTTCTAATAAGCACATAAGAAATATAATAGACTGAAAAGTGACCAGGTAATTTCTCTCGAGAATGCAAATCCCATTACAGAGTACTATTGCAGAGAATAAATATTCTCTCTTGTGGCAACCCACTAGACTTTGCTGGTAGAACTCAGCATGAATGTTTATTTTGTTTTGTTTTACTGGACATAATATATGGGGCTCTCTCTATTCTTCTATCATTGTATTTTGACTAGAATTCTTTTCTGAGGAATATGCATTAGAACTCTTGCTGAATACTAGCTGGATTTCCAGCTTATCCCCTTATTTTTGCTTAGTGAATTAAGCAAATGAATAAATAAAATATTCTGTCTCTGAAATCCATCTAGATATTGCAAAAGAAAGGCATGAAAATATTAGCAGACATGACAGAAACATGTAATACTTCTGGCATCGTTGCACTTTTCCCCTTAATGTTAAAACAAGCTAAATAACTCATAGCCCAACGTATTGTGAAATGGGGTACAAGACTTTTACTTTTGAGTGGACTGCCATAAAGCCTATTATGTTAAAATTTTGAGTTAAATATGTTTTGTAATAATGAACCTACATACTACTTTGTTACACTCATGAAACAGCTTCAACAGTTCATTGGCTCAAGGAAGGAGTAAATACCATCTGCCATTCTATGCATAGAAAGGTAAATATATACCAAGACAAACATTTAAGTAATTGACAGTAAAAAATTATTCCAACTTACCCACAAATTTGACATAAGGTTAGGAGAGGATCTTGCTTATATTTTGGGAACTTCCTGTATTTAAAAAAAAATATGAAACTTTGAAGTGAACCCATACATGAAGTGAACCCATACATCTTTCCATAGTCTTAAATTAATAGAAATTAACTTAATATTAAAATGTATTCATCAGTTTTAAACTTAAGCTATTCCTGATATTTTTATTTGTCAGTCTATTTTTTTTTCTGTTCAGATAAGTGGCTAAGCCAGAGTTCCTCACTGTTTTTGGCTTTGTGGATTGGCGGGAGGGGAGAGGGTGGTTTTATGCGAGGGGCTGGCAAGCGCACGCACAGATCCATTTGCCTGTGTGAGTCCCACAGTCACATTGGCAATCCTTCTGTAATTCTGTTACGAGCACTGCACACACATTCCATGTAAGTCAGCAGCAGGCACTCATGCATGCCGCTTGTGGAAATGGAGTTGCGTGCATGTTTGCCAACCATTCATGCAGAACCATCTCCTCTCCCTCGCTCACGCAAGCGAGGACACATGCTCACAGGCCATTTCCATGGCCTGGTTGCAAACCCTCGTGGGCTATTAGTGGGCCACAACCCACAGGTTGTGGACCCCTGGTCTAAGCATTTCAGAGACAAAATGTATTGTTAATAACATTCAATGAAAAAATCAAATGTCCATACATTTTTTTGGCAAACAAGAACAGAATATTAGGATGTATACCAAATTCAGTTGGATCACCAACTTTAGTGAAGATGTAAGCAAACATCAGCATTCCAGTTGCTAAACTATAACTTCCAGAATATCTCACTATTGGACATGAAGAGGGGAACTGATAATAATTATATCTGAGCAACATCTGGAATACCAGTGTATCTAACTATTGAGCACAATGTAAAACAGCTCTAGGAATGTTTTTCCAATTGTGTCTGCTTGGAAGTGTACTAAAGCAAAGGTCCCAACCTTTTGGGCACCATGGACCGGTTCGGTGGAGGGTGCATGGTTTTCTGTGCTGCCTGCATCTTGTGGATGGAGCTTTGCTTTTTTGTGCAGCCCGGTTGCTGGCATGCCGCGGCCCGATACTAGTCCACGGACCGGGGGTTAGGGATACCTGTACTAAAATATTTAGACACAGATTTACTGTAAAAATGTGGATAACATATTTGAAAAACACTTGCTATTTTGGGGTGACTTTGTCTCAAAATTAGAAAGCAGGTAGTACAGATCTAATTTAGTTATGTTTTGAATTTATTTGCAGGGCAATGCTTGTAACAGAATTACAGAAGGATTGCCAGTGTGACCATGGGACTCACACAGGCATTATTCTTTCTCAGTTTTTGAAATAATCTAAACTGTCATCCTTTAGAATAAATATATAATAGAGCTGCCACTGTGGAGTACTTTTTTTAATCTTCTAACAGTACATAAGGTTTTAGTGTGACTTCTGTCTAGACAATACTCTCTTGAGTCTTTAGATTGATTTTGGCACTTTCAGTAACACTAAAACCAATGACATAATCCAGCAGCTTTTTAAAATATTGGTATCAAGACCCTTTATTACACAGTTGCAAATCAAATGAAAATAAATAAATAAATAAAAGGGTACTCAATAAAGGGGGAAAAAAAACCTTCACTGGGCCTTAACAAAAGACCCAAGATTTTTTAAAATGATACGTTTCATGCAGCATCCAGACTGTATCTGTTATCAAATCCACGATTGTGTGCACTCTTTGGCAACACATGAATCATCAAAGCCATTGATGGTTGCTGCTTTTTAGCACACACATATTCCTTATCTTTCCTGCTTGGTTTCATCACATATTTTGTTTTGTGTCATTATTATTTTTATAGTTAGATAGCTGTAAGCAAGCAGAAATTAAATGCGGATATGTACACTGAATTCCACATAGGGAAATCAGCAGACTGGCAGAGGAGAAATGAATATTGATAGAATATTGAGGAAGAAGTCTCAAAACCATTTGATAGCTCAAAAACACTCAACTGCTTTATCTCTCTTCTTTTGTGACTTTTTTTTATATCAGTTGGCAATAGACAGGGTTCTCTTTTCCACAGTGGCATAAAGATGTGCATTTTTTGTTGCTGGAGTAGCTACCTCAGTCTGTTATCAATGGCCATTGTGAAAAATCACAATGAAAATAATAAGTAAAGTCTTTTGCAAAAAACCTGCCAAAAATATATGCATATTTCTGAATAAAATATTTGTGCTTACAAATACTTATTTAGTATTAGTTAAAATATTTTTCTAATTGACATTTTTCTCAGAGTCCTGAGATTTTGCAATCCCCCCTAAGAATGTTTCTGCATATTTTATGTGCTTAATAATATGCTGTGATACCAGAAGATTTGACACAATTCAGAGCACGCAGAGATTCCCGTTTGAGCCAAGCAGAACAAAGGGATTTTTTTAAATAATGTCTCTTTTAGTTTTCTCTTTTCTGTTTCTTTCTTGCGTTATGCAACCCAAAATAAAATTTATTTGCAAATATTAAGTGGCAATTGAAAATCATCAAGTTTATTGTGGAATAAGATAAATGAATGAAAACCCATAGTTGAATCTGCATACGCACACTTAAGGTAGAAATGAATATGCTCTAAGTATATAGACCTGTTAGACCTATTATCTATGGATGATTTACATACAATACGATATATTTCTTCTAATAGTCATACTGGAAAAAGTCATTCTTTAAATATGTCATTTTTGTGAATGAGATGTTAGCAATATAGAGTATATTTTTTTATAAATAAAGAATGAAAAAACACAAGGGTGATGTAAGAAAATACACTTTTTTAAAAGTACTGTATGTAAATATTGTGACGCTTGAAAGGGTACATGAGAATGCCAGAGTTACAGTTCTGGAGAGAGAAGTGAATTTCTTGATTGATACAGGTAGTCCTCGACTTATGACCACAATTAAGCCCAAAACTTCTCTTGCTAAGCAAGACATTGTTAAGTGAATTTTGCCCCATTTTACAGCCTGTCTTGCCACAGTTGTTAAGTGAATCACTGCAGTTGTTGTTAGTGACATTACATACTTGTTAAGCCAATCTGGCTTCCCTATTGACTGCTTATCAGAAGGTTGCACATGATTTTGGGACCCTGCAGCCGTCATAAATATGAGTGAGTTGGCAAATGTCTGAATTTTGATCATGTGACCATGGGGATGCTGCAATGGTTTTAAGTGTGAAAACAGCCATAAGTCACTGTTCTTAGGGCTATTGTAACTTCAAATGGTCACTAAATGAACTGTTGTAAATCGAGGACTGCCTGTAGATTATTTATTGTTTAGAACTACCCTAGCTCAAGTATTATAGCAAACTAGTGGTATCATTGAATTGAGAGATGTCAGGTCCAGTCAGTGCAGAAATCCAAATTAAAGCTTCTCCACAGATTGCTGACTACTTTCTGCTTAATCACACCCAGCAAAGGGGAGCCCACCATCTCTCACTATCAAACCTATTACAGTATTAGGCAGGGTTGATTTTTCTTACCACCCAATTGGAATCAGTTTTCCTGTAATTTAAATTCATTATTACATATCCTGCATTCTTGTATAGTAGGAAATAGCTGTAATGTCCTTTTCAGTTACTTGAAGAATGTATCATATCCTTACAAAGTCATATTTTCCTAAGGCTAAAGATACCCAGCTCATCCAATAACTCTTAATATGTCTTAATTTCTTGTCCCTTGATTTTGTTCTTTTTCTGTGCCCAGAACTAGACATTGTACTAAAGATGGGAGCCTGATCAGTAAAAGCCAGCTTCATAATAGAGGCTAATTGTTGTCATGCCTTCGTTCCTGATGTAATTTAGTTATCCAACAAATGAGAAAATTACCTAGCAATTGGATCCACTTTCTTAATGAAGGGGGACGAATGAAATGATTATATTATTAGAATAATGGTATTATATAAATTATAGTATTGTGTTGATCATCACAATGAAACTTCAGTTACAGTATCCAGAGTAACAAAATTTTCTGAGAAGCTCTTAAAGCTATTCCAGAAATGATGCTTGTAGAGAAAAAAGAAGA